CATTCCTGTAGGTCAAACAGGTGCTAACAATGTCAAGGTCATGGGTTTGATTTCCAGGCAATGCATGAAATTAGAAAAAAACAAATTATCTTTTAATGTAATTCAAGTCACTTTTTATGTATTTGTAAAATACATAAAAAATTCAATTGTTTTTTTCTTTATATATATAAATTCCCTGCATTTTGATTGAATTACTCACAGAACTATTGGAATATTTCAGTTCATTTAATTGTATTCACAAAGTTATCAATGCACAGTTTGACATGTGGCTTATATAACTAGATACGTCAAACTAATGAAGTGTTTCTTTCTCAGTCTTTTGTCAGGTCCATCACCGGCTTCCTGTGTGATGTCCAACAGCAGTCTGCGCTCAACCCCTGTGTCCACTCCTTGCACACCTCGTCGCCAAAGCCTGGCGGAGAGTTTCACCAACCTCCGCGACTCAACCAAGACCACCAGTACCTCTCTGGGACTAGTGCGCCTCCTACAGGAGAGAGGTATATCTGCTGCTGTCTATAACCCTCTCAGTTGGGACCGGGCGGATCGAGCCCCTCCACCAGACCCCTGTTCATCACACACTGCCACCCCCACGCACACCGGCCCAGACACGCTCCCCTCCACCCCTCCAAACTCCCCCAGCAAATCCAAACCCACCAGTCCTGTGTTCCCTGTAGACTACAGCCCCTCAGACCCCCCCTACGAAACCTTTCTGGCTTCACGACCAGCCAGCTCAATTCTGAAGGAAGTGTGGGAGGCAGACGAAAGGGCTCGGACAGACACACCGTGTCAGACTGAAGTCAGTGTGCAGAACTTGAGACTTCTGGACAAGGTGAAGAAGTTTAGCCTGGCTCCCAGAAATTTGACCCCAGGGATGGGAAGGCTGGGACCGCCATTTGGGGCCCACACTATTGTAACTTCCCCTATAGGGGGACTGCAAGTGCTGAACTCAGGGATGAGAAGAAACCGCAGTTACCCAGCTATGGTTGGGGCTAGTATGACTATGAAGGGCCCGGGGCCTCCCAGTGAGGACCTGCTGTTGACCCCTGGGCCACCCAGACAAACTAGCCTCAATGAAAAGTGAATGTTGCCTCTCTGTCGTCCCCTTTTGCCTTTCATTTATTTGTAATTTGAATCGATACAGTATATCATCCCTGCGACAACTCGAGTGCCTGTTATTAAGATGATATTTGTATAGATTATTTTGTTATAACAGTTGCTATAACAACCTATTTTGTCTCTGTCCATCTGACCAACATATACAGAACAATCCATTCAGCATTGTCACATATCTTGGTATATTCCAAGCTTTTGCCATTGTGTGAAAAAAAAGAAGGAATTTGCACTTGCTAGCTGCGAGAAAATGTAGCATATGAACAGAGCAGAAAATTCATGCCCCAAAATTACTTTTAATTTAAGCACTTTTTGAATTTAAAATCTACTCGAGGATAAGCAAGAAAGTGTCTTTTTTGTTGTTGTTGTAAATCTGGTCTTCCGATGTGACATTTCAAAATTGGTTCATTTCGTGATGCTAGCAAGAGCACAGATAGCACCTTAATGCTAATGGTAGCTTAGACAATGAAGTTATGTCATTTATTATTGATTTTTAGGTCAGAATTTACTTTTTAATGGCCATGTTGTAGTGCTTTAAATAAGCCCCTATAGTGTGCCGAAAATCTGTAAAACATGCTTTTATTAGTACAAATACCTTCACAGAAGCCTTTTCCATGTAGTCCAGCCAATTAAATAACGGCAGTGTAATATTAATTGTCTAAAACGGCTTATTAATGCATAATATAAAAGTAATTATAGTGTAATACCAGAGTTCAATAACGCGACTCTCAATAGAGGGCGCTGTTGATGTGAATTAGTGATAATTTGCACATTAGCACAAACTCTCTGTGTTTTACATCCTCAAAAGTCGACTGACTGAAATACTTCAGAGAGAAACCGAGACCACGGGGCTGTGAAGGTGCTGCATGGAGAATTGCAGCAAGTTTGAACTTGAAACACAATCGTGTTCATGTTAAGTAATCTTTTAATGTCCTTTTGTTGAGACCAACATTATTTATAAGTGTATGTGTGGATGTACATGGCATTTGGAATTGCAGTATCGAAGGCTTGATGGGGAATATTGCACAACTACAATTTCATTGGTCAAAAGGATGTCAGGTTCAACTGAAAAAACTGTACATTTGCTGTGGTTTTGGAACCTACTGACTGATGTGTGTCGTATGTAAAGCAAGTGAAATATATATTGTAAGCTTTAAAGATTTCAAGGGTGCAATAGGAATTTATAGTGCCTGATATATATATATTTTTTTTTTTTGACAGACTGTATAATAATAGCTTCGCCTGCCACAGTATGCACTGACATAAATACTGTAATTATGTGTTATGTTGACTTCCCAATGCAGATATTTGAAGGATATATTTTATTTGGTGTATTGCAGAGGAAGCGCATACAGTTGAAAGTGCATGAGTCGTTCTGCTCAGGTGTAAATGTGTGTGTACTGTATGTGTGTGTGGGCACATTTAATCAGCATGACCTTCGTTGAATGTGTTTCAGAACTACAGAGGTATCTGGCATTTCAATGGTGTTTATTTCATCAGATTACTGAAGGGACGTTTTACTTGTATATTGTAAATGGTAAATATGCAAAGGATTTAAACATGCTAACTTTTTATACATAAAAAGAAAAAACCTAAACTTGAGGGGGTGGGGGGGTAATGTAAAAGCAATGACACTGGTGAAAAGTGAATTTTAGAAGCTCCCCTTTGCAGAGGAACAATAAACCAGTTGCGATAATTTTGTCGATAGTCTTATTTTGCACCATTAATAATGTTATTATGTGTTTGTTCAAGTATATGTCCATGAATATCCAAAGACATTTTCAACGTTCTTTAGAAAGCATGAGCTGCACTAGCCTTGTTGACCACAAGAGTGTGTGCTTCACCATCACTGAGCATGCAGAAAAGCTTTACATTTGTTTGCCACACCAAATCATTTAAATTCTATCTATCTAGGTTCAGTAGCATATCTGATTCAGTTATAAATTCTGGTCCCTACAATCTAAATGAACCAGCAACTCTGTATTAGTATAGTGTAATTCAAACACAGTGCGTGTCCGAGAGAAACCGCCAGAGTGGCCACAACAAGGGGGTCTATAATATGCCAGTTCACTTTTCTGAAATCCTCATTGTTTGATCTTGAGCTGACAGTAACCCTTTAGGGCCCTTGTCTTGTAAATTTGTATGGAGTGAGTAGATGCTCGTGTCCAGACCACAGCGGACTGATCAACAGGCCACTTGGTGTTGAAGAGCACCAGCTATTTACTAACTATGTGATGATATTCACATGACATTCTCTAGCTGAAGAGGATTTCCATAGAAACTCTCTGCAAGTTACTGTGAACACAAATACAAAACACTTTGTTCTTGCAAGATTGTACAGAGTTGGGTCTATTTTCTCCTCAAACTTGATAAACATTTTGGTTGGACAAATCTAGAAATGTTTTATTTATAAATCCTTTGTGTAGTTTTTACAATATAAATTTAGGCCTCTTAGCCGTAAACCTAACCACTTTTCAACTAAATAGTTTAATAGGCTGATAGTCACAATAATTATCAATAAACATTGATAATTATCTTGGTTTAAATATACCACTGAGATAACAGTGGATTTTTACATTGTAAATCATTGATAATTGTGACACAGATAGCTTATATATACATCACAGAAATATTTCAATCATTTTCTCAATATAGGAACTGATTTTAAAACAAGAACTTGACCTGTGAGCTCTGTCTGTCTATCTATCCATGCATCCATTCATCCATCTAGCATGTAGACATGGTCAAGATAATCAAGTTCTGAAGCTGAAGTTCAAACCAAGCATAAGAATGGGGAAGAAAGGTGATTTAAGTGACTTTGAAATTCTGTGGATGAAAATGCCTTGTTGATACCAGAAGTCAGAGGAAATGCACTCTGAATGCACAACACATTGAACCTTGAAGCAGATTTGAACCTACAGCAGCATTAGACCATGCTAGGTGCCACTCCTGTCAGCTAAGAACAGGAAACCGAGGCTGCAATTTGCACAGGCTTACCAAAATTGGACAATATACAGTAAGATTGGAAAAAGGTTGTCTGGTCTGATGAGTCTCAATTTCTGCTGCAACATATCCAACATAAAGGCATGGATCCATCCTGCCTTTTATCAACGGTTCAGGCTGGTGGTGGTGGTGTAATGGTGTGGGGATATTTTCTTGGCACACTTTGGGCCCCTTAGTACCAATTGAGCATCATTTAAACATGACCACAGTCATCTTGTGATGGCTACTTTCAGCAGAATAACATGCCATGTCTCTGAGGAAAGTTTCCAGCACCTTATTGAATCTATGCTGCAAATAATTAAAGCAGTTCCTCAGACTTTGGTTCTGTTTTTGATGTATTTGTTTACTTGTCTTCAATAAACTATCAGAATCAGAATCAGAAAGAGCTTTATTGCCAAGTGTGCTTACACACACAAGGAATTTGTCTTGATGACAGAAGCTTCCAGTGCACAGACATGTTGACAAGTGACAAGACACAGATAAAAAAAAAATTAATAATAAAAACAAGTGAGTAAAAATAAATATGTAAAAACAATACACAATAGACAGTAGACAGTATATTGTATGTACAGATGTGCTATATATAAATTAGCGCTGGCCAAAAGGCAACAGTTCAAAGATGAAGTGGGCTGGTTGTGAGGGGTCCAGAGTGATATTGCCTGCCCTTTTACTCACTCTGGATGAGTACAGTTCTTGGAGAGTGGAGAGTGGGGAGCATTGTGCCAGTGATTCGCTCAGCAGTCCAGACAGTCCGCTGCAATCTTCTAGGGTCTGATTTGGTAGCTGAGCTGAACCAGACAGCAGCTCCTGTGGCAGGTTGAACTTCCCCAGCTGGCGAAGGAAGTACAGCCTCTGCTGGGCCTGTTTCACAATGGAGTCAATGTGATTGTCCCACTTCAGGTCCTGAGAGATGGTGGTGCCCAGGAATCTGAATGAATCCACTGTTGTTACAGTGCTCTTCATGATGGTGGGTGGGGGGAGTGCTGGGGGGTTTCTCCTGAAGTCCACGAACATCTCCACTGCTTTGAGCTTGTTCAGCTCCAGGTTGTTAAGACTGCACCAGACAGCCAGCTGCTCAACCTTGCTTCTATAAGCAGACTCGTCACCGTCCTGGATGAGGCCGATGACTGTAGTGTCATCTGCAAGCTTCAGGAGCATGACAGAGGGGTCAGTAGAGTTGCAGTCGTTGGTGTACAGGGAGAAGAGCAGTGGGGAGAGAACGCAACCCTGGGGGGCGCCAATGCTGATGGTGTGACTGTTGGATGGGAATTTACCAATTCTCACTAGCTGTTGTCTATATGTAAGAAAGCTGGTGATCCATTGACAGATAGAGCTAGGAGCAGAGAGCTGGGTTAGTTTGGTCTGGAGAAGTGTTGGGATGATAGTGTTGAAGGCCGAACTGAAGTCCATGAACAGATCCTTGCATAAGTCCCTGATTTTTCCAGATATTGCAGGATGTAGTGCAGTCCCATGTTGACTGCATCATCCACTCACCTGTTTGCTCGATAAGCAAACTACAGGGGATCCAGTAAGGGTCCAGTGATGTCCTTCAGATAAGCCAACACCAGAAAAAGTATTTCAAATGATTTCATGGCCACAGACGTTAGAGCCACAGGTCTGTAGTCATTAAGTCCAGTAGTTTTGGGTTTCGTTGGGACAGGGAAGATGGTGGAGCATTTGAAGCATGAGGGGACTTCACACAGCTCCAGTGATCTGTAGAAGATCTGTGTGAAGATGGGGGCCAGCTGGTCAGCACAGATTTTCAGACAGGCCTGTGTGTCACACCGTCTGGGCCTCGTGCAGTCTTTCAAATTCATGACCACAGACGTTAAAGCAACAGGTCTGTAGTCATTTAGTCCTGTAATTTTGCATTTCTTTGGAATGGGGATGATATTAAAGTGTTTGAAGCAGGCAGGGACTTTGCACAGCTCCAGTGTTGATGCTGTTGAAGATCTGTGAAAAGATGTGGGCCAGCTGGTCAGCACAGGTTTTCAGACAGGCTGGTGTAACACCGTCTGGGCCTGGTGCTTTTCTTCTCTTCTGCTTTCTGAAGACCTGAAGCACATTATCTCCACTGATCTGAAGTGCAGGTGTGGGGGAGAGGGGGGTGCTGGAGGTGTTGATGGCTGTGTAGAGAGATGGTCAGGGCGGGTGTGGGGTGTGAGACCAAGAGTTTCGAATCTACAGTAAAACTCATTCAGGTCTTCAGCAAGTTTTTGATTCTCCACAGTGCTGGGGGATGGTGTCTTGTAGTTTGTAATGTCTTTCAGGCCTTTCCACACTGAAGCAGGGATGTTGGCTCAAAACTGGTTTGCCAACTTTTTAGAGTAGATCCTCTTAGCCACTCTAATCTCCTTATTCAGTGTGTTTCTGGCCTGATTGTACAATACTCTGTCCCCACTCCTGTAGGTATCCTCTTTGGCCTGACGAAGCTGTCTGAGTTTTGCTGTAAACCATGGTTTGTCATTGTTGTATGTTAAATAAGTCCTGGTAGAAATGCAAATGTCCTCACAGAAACTGATGTATGATGTCACAGTCTCTGTGAGCTCATCCAGATTGGTGGCAGCAGCTTCAAAAACACTCCAATCAGTGCAGTCGAAACAGGCTTGTAATGCCTGCTCTGTTTCGCTGGTCCATCTCTTTACAGTTCTTAGGACAGGCTTAGCAGATTTAAGTTTTTGCCTGTATGTTGGAAGAAGATGAACCAGGCAGTGGTCAGTGAGTCCTAAATATGCTCTGGGGATGGAGCGATATGCATCCTTTATTGTGGTGTAGCAGTGGTCCAAAATATTTTTGTCTCTGGTGGGGTATGCAATGTGTTGTTTGAATTTTGGCAGTTTGTGTGTGAGGGTCATATGACGTTGCTAAAAAAAAAACATACTGTACATTATTGTTTCTCCTCTATGCCCCGCCTTTCTGAAACGCGTCGATTTTTACAAAGCTCATTGGTTTGAAAAGCGCGGTGTGCTCTGATTGGCCGGCTATCTAGTGAGTTGTGATTGGCTGACTTCCTCAAGTGTGTGACGGAAATGTTATGCCCCTTTCCAGGTTTAGGAAACTTTCCTCCATAAAATGCGCTGCACACACTTGAATATTTAGGTTGTACTGTTCTGGAACAGTGTTGTACATAAAACTTAACCACTGATTTCTAGTTGTGTCCTCTTTTTGAAGACCAAACAAAGTAGTTTGGCTTTTGCAATGAAACACACAGCGTCTCCACGATATGGCGGCAGCAACAATAGGCTTGTTTGAGATGCATCGGCACTGTGCACAGTGAGCAGACCGATCGGCGTATGACATCAAAGTCCTGCAAAAGCGATAGGAGAGCAGACAACTCTTTATGCTTTTGAATTGCTCTCACGGTACTTTGATGTCATATGCTAATCGGTCTGCACGGCGCCAATGCATCTTGAACAAGCTGAATACTACAGCGAGAATAAAAGTTACGCCTTCTTTATTTGCGTATACATTTGGGCGGTGTTATTCAAATCTTCCCACACAGTGACGTAGATATGTGGGGGCATGTTTGAACGAGGCGTTTTAGGAAGGCGTGGCTGAGCGTTCACTTTTATAAAGAATATCTCTTTGGGTTTGAGACTTTACGGATCTTCTGTATGCACGAACAGCTTTTAACACTCCAAAGACAAAGGAAAACATGAAATCGCATCATAT